GCCAAGGGAGCAGCACATAAAAAATGAACTCTTCCTGGCATCTGATTCAACACATTGTTTAGTCACATGTTCCTCCATCTTTCCTCAGAGCAGAGCAAGAGAAATATACAGTTGAGTACAGTCTGTGAACATTGCTATCAGCTGGAATTTTCTATTTCCTGCAACAAAGAACTGATGGATGATTTTGCCTGTCTAACAGCTCCATCAGAAAATGCCTTAGAAATATACTGACTTCTATAACTATATGATTATTTTAATTTGTCTTTATTCTCTTCCTGATTTTAATGTGTGCTACATGGGTGCTGCCTTTTGTGTCTGCTGATCATGTCATTAATACTCGGTAATTGGTATTTTCACAAATACTTTGGTGAAAGATCCAACACTGCACGTGGAAGGCCTGAAGTTGAAGGTCGTCACCCATGTGGGATCCCAGATGTGGGAGATTTCACAGATGTTGCATATATACATATGTATATGTGTGTGTCTGTGTATGTAAATCATATTTACCCACATTCAATATTTAGTTTTGACCATTGCTGGAGACAGGATACTGGACTATAAAAGTTTATACTGGATTGGTTTGACTGAGAAAAACATGTTTTATTCATTTGTAGACAGAAAATGTAAAAGTATCAAATTACTGCTTTTCAACTCTTATTTTTTTACTTATGTACTGCCAATCTGTGCTGCTGGCCCTTGTGCAAAGGACAAAGTAGTGTCTTCTTTGAGAAAGGCATCCTGGTAGATTTCAGCACTGGAAAATTCTTCAGATGAGTCACTGTTGTGTGGGTTTCTATTGCCCTTCCAAAAAATGGAAGTTGTCATTACACGCTACATCTCTTAGACAAATGAAAAGCAGAGGTGGGGGTTTTTTCCCTGTTTCTCCAGCAGCTTCTGTGTATAAATTATACATTTTCTTAAATATCTGCATTTTCTATTTCAGGTTTGAGCTGATAACCTGTGTTTTTGCGCAGTAGGCAAACCTCATGCTGTCACAAGCAGCAGTGATACAGCCTCACATTTCGCTTCCCTTCATCCCAAGGAGCCCTTTGCTATTATGCCATTAGAGATAATGCAGAGCTTTGAATTGAAACACCGCAGACACCAGTGGTGCATGACAACTTTTCTCGCCCATGAGCTGCCACCATACAATGGGACCTGCTCAGCTGCACCAGCCCACGTTGAGAGGAGATAATCAATTCTGTAGAGGACAGTCTCAAGCTGTAACACCTTCCCCAGCTAAGGAGCTGAAGGAGCCTTGTGCTTCTCCTCTGAGAAGACGGAAATGTATCTGTCAAGATTGCAAATGTATATACCCTCAGAAACCAAAATAAATACCCAAAACAGTTTGAATGTGGGATGCAGGGTGGCACTGCTTGTGTTCTGGGAATTGTTTGAATTTTGGAGCACAGGAGCTTGGGGGCAAAGGTGCTGTCATGACTTTCTCACTGCAGAGCTCAGAATGGCTGCACATTCCATGGGAATGGGTACACAGATATGTGGCCATCTAAGTCTTACAGCAAACAATCAGTAATAAAGTTTCTTAAATCTTTTATGAAAAATACAGAAGACAAGCAGATAAAGTACTTGTTATGCAAAGTGTTCAAGGAGACTTTCATTTTAACAGCATCCATTATCCCCTTTTCTTTTAGCTGCAGAGCGTTTTTATGTGGAAAATTCCCTGGTTGATAGTGTCTTTTTATACAGTATTAAGATGATATTAACTCCCCCTTTGGGAGAGAATAATAAAATAAAAAGCAGCTGAAATGGCTGGAGCTGTACTTGTCTCTTTTATTGGAATCTGGGCCTACTCCCTCGAAAATAAAACAGCACATGCACATACCCAAAGGGAGTGGGTAAAATATGAAAAAAAAAAAGACGAAAAAAAAAGCTTCTGTTTGGGCTGTTGACTCTGATTTGTAACCTTGCTGCTGGAGAAAGACAAGCACAGCACATAGTCTTATCAGCCACTCCAATACCTGGCAAGCTTGAATTCATGTTCATTACACTACTATTAACTACCTTTCTGGTCACAGGGTTAACAACAATAACAACAGTAAACCCCACAAAAACCAAACCAATAAAAAGACACCAAAAACCAAACAAAAGGAAACTAATATAATAGAAAAATAAATACAAAAATAGAGAGGTTTGTCCAAGCTAAGGCAGATTCTAATTAAATAGAAAAAGAGGGGAAGGGGAGATTAAAGATGAGGAAGGCCAAGGCTGAGTTACACTAAAGGCGCAAGACTCATGCTGAAACCAGCTTTCAGAATCAAAGATGGTGCAAGAAATGCTGCTTACACTCTTCCTCTATGTCTCTCTTGTCCACTCAGCCCATCCATTTCTGTGATTTCTCAGAATCAGAAGCACAAAAGCACCACGGGAAATCCTGAGCTCCTAAAATATGAAAACCCAGCAGCTGATATGAAAACTGTTATTCCTTTCTGTTTTGTTGTCCTTCCAGCAGTACTGTCAAACTATCCCTGCCAAGAATGACAACTGGCATAATATTCCATCTTCTCATCCTTTTATTCATCTGTTAAAGCTAAATTTTTACATGCCACTGTTGCTCCATTGCTTTCTCATCTTTATTCTTCTAATTTACCAGAAAATTGGAATCATCATCCAAGCTATCAGGAGGCCTCTTTGTTGGGACAAGATTTGTTATTTACATGTAACTTTTATTTACTTTTGGAAACAATGTTTTATAACATGTTTTGCTGGTCTTTTGCTGTCTTGAATGATGGAGACCATAGATGTCTTTACCGCAGCCTGAGTGAAATAACAATTCCAATATGCTGTCCATGCAATCCTGGTACAGTGCACCAAAGATCAACTTCCCATATGAGAAAAAATGTAGTATTTAATGCATCTTCGGAAGGACCCTTGCAGTGTTATGGGGAGAAACCACTTCACATTTATCCTATCTGTACTTGATTCACACCTCTTTGAATTGTGCAAGGTCTGCCAAGATCTCTCTGTGAACCATTTGGGTTCACCTCTGTGTTTGTTCCTGCACATCCTGAGCACACCAAGCACCCTAGTTGCATCAGGAATGGAGGAGGTAGAACATCCTTGCATGGCGTCTGACTATGGTCTGAGGTTTTATGAGTCTCAGGCCATGTCTGAGGGGGAAAAGTGAAGTGTTTACATTTCAGAACAGAAAGTTATTTTACATTCAAAAATCAGCAAAGTGTTTTGGTATGTTACAGCTAGTCTGTTTTCTTGACTTATTGCCTTTATTATTACCTGCTCTTATTCTCCCCCTGCTCCTGCCACAATGCATTTGTGTCCATCCCTAAAGAAGAAAAATAATTTTCTTCTGAATCTGGGTGAGGGTAAGAGTCTTGCTGAGGAAGGGACCCCATATGATGTAAGTCTAACACATGGCAGTAAGATCTGGCCCCAATTTCAGGTAAGTCCGAGAAAAGTTGACAGTGTCTTTTGCACCAGCCTTGAGGATGCCTGACTGGGGTGGGTAGCTATCTGTTCCCCTCATGCCAGCCACCGATCTTCCCGGTGCCTGTGACAAGTAGCATAGTAACAGGGAGAATGAGGGGTGGAGAGTGTGCAACAGTGTCACAAAAGGGGATTACAATGGGATCTATCTATCCTGGTTCATGTAACCCTTTAGCAGAGCTGAGTTTGATTTCTATCCCTGAAGAATATATTTTTGAGTGAAGGAAAGCATAGAGGACAGACACAAAACCCATGGGGCTCTAGATCCTGTTCTATATAGTGCCAATGAACTCTCCAATGTCTGAATAAACAACAAAAAACCAAGCAAAAGTGCAAACAGCAAACTTCAAAGAGACAGTTTTATACTACATTGAACACACATATTGCAGAGAATTTAGACAGTCGTGTGCATAGCATCACTCAACAAGTTACATATGGATTGATATACAAGATTTGTTGTTCCTCTGAGGTGCCATTGTCTACTGATTTCAGAGGTAGGTTTAGGCAGCTCAGATGCTTTGTTGGTAGCTACTTATCTGATTTTTTAGGGAAGTTGATTTCAAATTGACAAAGCAGATCTCATTCTTCTTCTAAGTAGATCTTCAAAGAGCCGCCAATTAGTCTCCATGGTTCTCAGGGATGTTATGTCCTACATATAGTAAATATTTTCTGTGAAAATGCAATCCCACTATTCTAAAACGCAGAGCTGTTAGAAGATTCAGATGGTTGTGTATTTCTTCCTTTACATCTAATATGGAAAAAAGCAAATTCTATTTCAGGCATGATGTTTAAAAAAATACATTTCCCCCTTTGTGCCAACCAGTGAATAATCGTTTGAGTTTTCCAGTCAAGTGCTTCAGTGCTGAATCATTTCCCTATCTTTTAAAGACTTAGAGTTGGAGCAACAATCTTTTATTTAATCACTTTGTAGTGTGGTATATTATTTAGGCATTTCTGATGAGTAAGACTTTTAATATCTATATCTTTATCACCGTTTCTTGTTCAAAAGAGAGCACTCATGATTCAAAATGGGATGGTCGTCTTGTAAAAATAACCTGTTTTTCTTAGGAGCTTTAGCAGTTGTTCTCTTTCTTTCATAGGTCTACTTTACAGTAAAAAAATAGGAATTAAGTAAAAGCAGAAAGACCCAGGAGTGGGTCTGGATCATGTGGTACATTTTGTGTTGCTACAAATGACTGGTATAAAACTGGGCATCACATGACTTTGTCCCAGTATCTACTTTAAAAGACAGAAGGAGTCAGTAAACAGGAATGGGTCAAATGCATTTATTTACTTTTAGGGGTAAAAAGGAAGCTAAACAAAAATGCTAATCATGTAGTAACTTTTTATTAATTTCTGGTTTACTTTGGTTGCCAAACTGAAAATCAGTTTTAGCTGGTACTTGCAGAAAGAAAGAAGTGAAAATAAACATGAAGGAATAACATGAGGAAGGGACAGACAGTGGAGGGAGGTAGGGCCTCTGTGAGACCCTCAGAGCATACAAACTATGACTGTTCCTCTCTCATTTCTGTCTATAGGCTGCATTTTTGGGCTGGCTAACTCCTGTCATTCCTATTTCTTTAACCACACAGTACAGAGACTCACCTTTCAGTAGGTGCTTTCAGTTCCTATGTTTCTTTTTTTTAATACAAATCTAGAAACTATGTGTTATTTGAAAAACCAAACCAAAATAAAATTTAACAACATGACTTGTTCCACAAGTCAATTTACCTTTTTATTATTTATTTGGCATCTTTACTTGAATAAATTTAGGGGGGGGTGTTCAGGAAAAGATCATACAGTCAGGCTCCTTATTAAAGTGATTCAGAAAGCTTTCTTAGCAAATCTTCAGCTGTTGGGACTTTGACATGTTTCAAAAACCTTTTTTCAACCCGTGCAGGTTTGCTGAACTGAAATGACTTGCTGAGGGCCATGATCCAATTTGTGTTGAAGTCAATGGAAGTCACTCCAATTATTTCAACTGGATCAACAGGATCTGGTCCGTAAATCATTGAGCACCTGAAGTTGTTCTGCAAATGTTAAATCTCTCCTAGTGTACAAAACACATTCAGTAAAAAGGAACAGACTGTAATAGGGGTAAGGGAGTACGGAGTGTGTGTATACAGCACTTAATTAAACACATCATTCTATACTGTCATAAAGTATTTCTCACACCAAGTGTTGTTCACATTACTCATAGGAGATTTAGGGTTTTGAAAACCCCCACAAAATGTCCCAGCTGTTCTATATACTGTATCTTATAGTAATTGTCCCTGTGTGTAGGAAGGGTAATTAACCTGAAGGACTTTATATATCACTGTCAAATGCTAAATGTCAGTATTATAAATTTCTTAATGTAAACAACAAATTTAGAAACAGTATGAGAGATAGAGATATTCTTTAGAAAGGTATTTCACTTAGGGACTGGATGGCCCAGGCAATTGTTATAAGATACTTTAAAGTAGTCTTTTCCAGTTCTATAGTGTCTAACAAAGCAATAGTATCTAGCTGTGATGGGAGGTATTTGAGGACTTAATGTGGTAGATCTGACCGCACACAGTAGTAGTCCAATCTTTTCTTAGTCACACACCACTATTCATAAAGAGCTTAATTCCTTAGGGAATGATATGTTCTTGAAATGGTTGAAATATGGAATTCCTGTCCAGTAGGACACTCACTTTTTCTAACAAATGTATCCCAAGTTATAATGAAAAAAAAAATATTACTCAGTTTTCAGTAGTTTTCTGCTTTTTTGCATGGTGGTTTTTTTTCTTTGTTTGTTTGCTTTTATTTGCTTGTTTAAAATAGAATCAGCCTTCCATTGTTTTGCTCTTTAAAATCAACCTTGAACTTACACTTTTCAGCTCTTCTTGGTCTCTCTCTTGTTCCAAAAATGTTAACTGATCTTTCACAGCTTGTGAAAGGTTTTGGCAAGATAAATAGAGTTGAGTATTTCAGAGTCAGGGAACACTCTGGTTATAGGAAATCCACAGCTCAAACCCAGCTACTTCAGACTCCAGGCATCACTAATGCAGAAACAGAAGAGTAACTCGGGAACCTCTGTTCTAGCAAAGACACCCAGGGCTTGAAGGCTCATGATTCTGCTCGGAAGTCCATTGACACAAGTTTGATGAACCTCTCCCAGACGTGGATTCTGAAGTCTATTGTTTAACAAGAGGTAAACTGGGTCTTTCAGAGTGGTAAATCTCTTCTCTGAAAATGAAATTATTTAGAAATGTTTTTCACTCAGAAAATGCCCATGTTTAGCCTTTCCTGTTATGTGGTCTTTGCTAACTTTATAGAATTAAACGTAAACTTCTGTGACCACCAAATATAGCCTTTGCACTTAAACCAACCTTGCTTATTTTCCAACATCAGACCTTATCATAATTCAATGAGGGAAGTGTTGATGGCTTTTCTGAAGAGATATTTCATTTAATTGAGTAATTCTGATTTCCTGTGCAGTTTCTCAGAGTGCTTTACCTAGAGGGCAAAGAACTCTGGGCAGAAAAAGAAGACCAAGAAGTGTTCCACACAATTTTTAAGAAGCAGTCTTAAGCCACCAGTCATCAGAATTTCCCTGCAACAACATCACAGCACAAAAAAACAATAAACTAGATTGTCAGTGATCCCATGAAAAGGAGGAGACAGTCAAAGACTTGAGTTTGCATTTTGTTTTTCTTTATCTATTTTATTTCATTTATTAAAATTCTCACTGCAGTCAGGATTTTGAAAATGAGAATCCTGGCTACTTGCAACACATGAAATTATTATTGTGACTTCTTCATGGAAAAAATTCAGGTGTATTGTTTTGTATTTATTCATCTGGAGAAAAGGCTTTTCTCAGCATCATGATAATTATTTAGAAGATGAAAATTACTAAGTAGTTCATCTCATTTTTTCCAGCTGTCAGTTTTCTTCACTGTCTTCTTCTTCTTGCAGAAAGTGAACGTGTCCAATATGGTTTCCAGTTCTCTCCTTAAGACCAAGTATGGAAGAAACAACTAAAAATCCTTTATCCAAGTGTGAAAAATGTCTGAAGCGGTTGACACAAATTTATCACGAGTTTCTTGTCACTGTTACAGAATTTTCGCATGAAAGATGCTCTAAAACATATTCCGTGTTGATACTACTGTATGCAAATAACTTGTAGCATTATTAACCGATTTGCTAAGGTTTTAAACAGATGTTCCTGAAATTGGATGGTTTGATTACAGAGATAATAGAGTACCCCCTAATGAAAAGATAGGGCTTTCCAGTTTTAGTAATTGGAAAACACTGACAGGCAAAACCGTACATTTAGAATGCATTTTAAAATATGGTACAAAAAAATTGAGTAATGTACTTGAACTCTCTCATTTAAATGTTAGCTCAATATCTGTGGGAAGGATCTTTAATTCTGAATAATAGATTCCAAGTAAAATTTCCCAATGAAAGCTAAGCAATTTCTCTACAGTGATAAAAACTTCTGTTCCTACCTATAGTGTTACATTGCAAAGATTCACACTGGCAAACTCTCTTACCTAATTTCTTGTTATTTACTTACTGATAATACAGGACCAAACATTTACAATAAAGAAAAACCTGGGTTTTTTTGTAAAAGTCATTCTTTGCAAAAGACATCTAGAAAAATGAGGAAAAACTTCACTGATTCAGGAAAGTGCCTCCTTATCCTTTGGGAATTTTGAGGATGACAAGTATGCATAGACACATAAATACCCACATATTTGATGTTCACTTGCATTTTCTGGTCATCCCATCAAAACATAGCTCCCTGTTGATGTAGAAACATAAAAGTTTGTCTAGCCACAAAGTTATCATCTTCTCTATAATTAATGACTGCTATCTTCAGAATTTCCTCCTTGTTTAAGAAAATGATAACATATTTTGGGACAGAATCAGTTCACTTTTAATAGCTATATCTAATATCTAGCATATCTATTTTACTGCATAAAAATTACCTGCGGGATTACACATTTCTGATCCCATTAATGATCTGTGGTTATCTCTGGAAATCACTCAGGAGTTTGCTCACACAGGATTTATGTTTCATTCCAGTAGTTTATAGGAAGACTTGGATGCCCACAGTGTATATCAGACATCACCAAGAGGGAGCTTGCAGCTACTGATATGGTATATTGTCCTCTATGGGAGTAAATAAGTACAAGACTTTGAAGGGTATGCTGTAGAAATAATTCTATGTTCTATAAATTTTTTGTGACATTTTGAGCCCAAAATTGTAGTTTTCTATTTTTTTTTCTAAAATAACCACTTACAAAATATGACAATGGGGGATTTTTTTTTCTTCAGGTTAGCTAAGTTAGTTACTCCTGTGTAACTTCACTCCTGCAAGTGAAACTTATGGAATTTTTCATAGGCCTAAGCTACCAAAATAATCAACTAAAGGCAAAGACAGTGAGCATTAATACACTTTCATGCTAAGAGTGACTTGTTTATCAAAGGGAGTTATCCCAGGTACAAAGGTCATTGTGAAATCCCTTTCCATTCTATTTCCCTTATTATTAAATTTTCTTTTCTTCATAAGTAGACTTAATAAGAACAAAGTTATGCATCTACTTAAATGCTTTGCAAGACTGAAGACCTCTTCACTCCCTATTTAACCTGAAAATAATTCAGGCAAATCTGAAACACTTAGAGAAAGAAAAGCTGGAATCAACAGGGTTCTTTGCTTTCACACTGTATAAATTTATGCTGAAACATGGGCACTGACATTTCATTCTTAGCTGTTGTCACACAATACTGCATAGCAGATCAAATGCAGCAATTAAAAATGTTTTGAAACTGCAACTCCTACTTCATAAATTACCGTAGTCTTTTGTTACAGAACAACCAAGTCAACTTCCTGTTTGCACTTAAACTATTCACAGCTTCAGCCGATGTCCTGCAGTGTCTTTTCCAAAGGTCACACCACAGTTTTCAATTCACACATTTGATTAAAAATATAAGAATCACAGTGTCCTGGGAAATGATCTGCAGTAAAAATACATCAAACTACCTGCTGTTTCCAGAATAAACCAGGTTCCTGTCTCTTTTCCCCTTTCAGTTAACATTGCAAAAAGAGGAGGTTATATGCATGTCTGCAGAAATCCCACTGCTAAACTAGAAAATTAAAAGTAAAGTATTTGGTTTATGATTTTTATTTTTTTTTTAGAGCACATGTTCTGTATCTGACAAAAATATGTTCAGTTTAAAATATGGTTAAGGAAAACCAGGGACAGAAAACTAAGAGCACTTAGATTTTATGAGGCCTAAGATCTCTCATTCTTCTTCAACTGCTGCAACACACTTTTGCACAATTTTCTTCAGATCATATTGTCATAACTTTCTATACGCTGACGAGTGTCCTCCCTGAAGTCCTATTTGAATTTAATGGAATTACTGTGGTAGAGACTCTGCAGACAGAGTTTACATGTCATCTTTCCTTTCTCTCAAGCTCACATCCCTCAGTATGTGGGGTAAGATAATTAAATGTCTATTCCTGCTATCAGTAGTCCTAATGCTTTGGTGTCTAACAACCAGAAATTTTGCAACAGCTTTTGCAGCTTATGGGGGCAAAATCCTGACTGAGAGTGAGTGGAATATAGGAAAAAATGCCATGGTGAAATACATCTCTGTCAAATTAAAAATTCCTTTGAGAATTCTTTTCCATTCTCAATTTGGGAACTTCACTTTATGCAAGATTAAAAATCTAAAGCAAGATTATTATATTGTCCAAATTTAAATCAAGATTATTCTAATCTAAAGTAGGATTCTTATAGTGTCCAAAAGAGATGTTCACATCAAACCAGATGACTAAATTTAAAAACTGAGCCCTTTGCTGTATTTTCATCTTTCCTCCTTTGTTGTTCAAGGAGACATTAATGCAGAATCTCCTAAGGAGGAGATATTCAATTGTGAGAGTAAGGATGTGAGATGAAAGTGTATTTTCACAGCTCAAAGGCTGACCTGGGGAAAGCTTCCTTGGAGCCTCTGCATCCCAGAGGAAGATTTGGATACAGGAAGAACTGGAAAATCCTGACTAGACTTTAACCAGATCCTGTAGTTACACAAAGAAAAACATGGAATGTGGTGTTGAGACAATTTGTAACAGACTGGTGAGCATTTTGAGTAGGAATGGGCCAAGTTTTAAGAGCAGATCTAACACATGTTCTCTCAAATGTAAATTGGATTAAAAACTGTTCCTTTTTACTTACTCTACTGTGAAATGACATTCTGGTTTATTAGCAATGTGGGTCCTGACTAAAATTTAGTATGATTTTTATCTTAAGAGTGACTCTGTGGGGAACTTTACATTTCTTTGATGATTTTCATTATAGCTTTAGCTATATTTAAACTCATTTTTCATGTACATAGAACATCACATTCTTTTAAGCACAAAGATGTCAGGACAGACTGAAATAGCTCTTTGTGAGCCCTTGCTCTGACTATAGACTTGGACCATAGGAAAAGATTCATGTACAGGTAAACAAGTAGTGGCTCAGATCTAGTCAACTCAGCTTTTGGAAATGTATATTACTGCCAATTTTGGCTTCCAGTGATAATTTGAACCCTTCAGTTACACATATCAGTCCTGCTATGGGACCTGCCAGCAGAGAACTCCGCAAAATATCCTTCACCCAGCCTCCTCTTATCTGGGTTGGAGCTGAAACACACATTTTCATAATGAATATTGTTAAGCTGATGGACGAGACGTTAACACAATCATTTACATGGGTACTCAGGGAAGCAAATGTAGTGATTTACGTGATTTACTCTAATGGTTCCATTACAGTGATGAATACTGGCAAAGTATGCACTGCCCCTCTCAGGATCTTTGCCTCAGAAGAAAAATAACTCTGAGTATTGATATTCTAGCCTAAATAACTGTTCTTATAAGTTATTCTTCTAAAAAGTACTTTTTTTTCATCCCCATTAAATATACTTTCTTTGGTCAACATAAAATCTCAAATTGCAATATTGGAAAAAAGAAGCCTTGCAAGCCTCTACTTTTATATTCTCACAACTTAAAAATAGCCATAGCAATCTTTTTTGCCACTATATTTTCTGAAACTATACTGTATAACAACACTACATCGTTTTGATAGCTCACAATTGCAAGTATGTTTTCCTGATCCAATTTCAACT